AAAGTATTTTACTGAATATTCTTACTTAAAATTTCTTTAAAATCAAGTTTAAAGTTTCTGTTTTACTGTAACTTATTTTTTCTTTTCTTTCTATCTTCCTTCTACCTTCTCTCTCAGCTCTCCCTCACTGATTCTTTCCCCTTAGTCTTTAATGCTCGGGGTTTTAAACAAGATACTTACAATTCTACCAATTCTCTAAGACTTGAAAAAGTTCCGGGTACAAGATGTCCTTTTATTGGATTGAATGATATATCTCTGAGAGAACATTTTTATCGTCAGATATTTCATATATATATATGTTTAATTTATTTTAATTCAGTTTTTTCTCTAGCACGATGACAAATTATTTAAAACAGCAAATCCCTGAAAGATAAACGTTATGCAATTATCGAATTTTCGATTAGCTATGTAATAGTTTATTACTGAGTTTTTGCAATCTTATTTTCTGAATTATCCCATCTTTATCCCATCTGGCTCGTATTTATCTCGTAAGTTTTATTATATGCATGATGTTTCGTTCTCAATTTTATGAACAAGTGTGATATACATAGTTTCATGCTTACAAGCGTCTCAGTTTGCTAAGACCATCAAACATTCCATAGAGACTCGAAGAGTTCAGCATGTTGCCTCCCAAATCTCTGTAATCAGCAAACAATAATAGTTACAGTCAATTCAAAAAACGTTGTCGTCGATCGGCTCAAGCCTACGCGACTGGACCGAAAGGAATATGGGTTAAAATCACTGAAGAGGTTAAATCTTCGTTCTGAATTAATCGTTCCCGCTAGTAATAAGATAATAATGGTGAGAAACAATCCATCAAATGCATGTCTTCGGGTTTAGGGAAAGAAAAACAAAGTAGTTATGATTCAGTTCACAATTCCGAAAATATGAAGGCATTAAAAAACGCTCCTTCAGCACTTCCCGCTAGCCTACGAAGGTTCGTGCTGTAAACCAGGCATAACTAGACAGATAAAGTTATGGAGTCAACTCGGCTTCAATGATTACTACCCATAGTTCCTTTCGGTCCAGTCGCGTAGACTTGAGTTGGTCGACGACAACATTTTTTGAATTGACTGTATAAAGACGTTGCACGTATAGAGTGAATTAGGAAAGGCATTTAACCCGTGAAATAAAAAATACTAGTCAACGTGTAATAGTCAAATAGACACAAAAGAAGACAATGGAATAACGGTCTACTAATATGTATTATTTATCAATTGACACGGTTTTCTTTGTTATTCACAAGGCTTTATTTTTGTTATAACCCTCATTATAAATGCGAGGTCAATATATAGTTATTAACCCGGTTAATCTATTGCACGGGTTTAGTGACTTCACTCTAGTCAAATAGACACGAAAGAAGACAATGGGATTAGGGTCTACTAATGTGTATTGGTCTAATATCTATTGCACATGTTTAGTGACTTCACTCTAGTCAAATAGACACGAAAGAAAACAATGGAATTAGGGTCTACTAATGTGTATTAGTCTAATATCTATTGCACGGGTTT